GAGTAGAGGCAGTAGAGGATGTCCCTTCTTGATTAAGAAAATGTGTGAAGTATGGGAAGAACTGCTAAGTTTTGTTGAAAAAACTCACCCAGATAAAGCTGTAGCAGGCCGTTGCATTGACCTTTTAAATGATAATGTGATGTCTTACTACAGACAAGTGTTAAAATGTAGGGAAAAACAAGTGTCATTAGATAAATTCTTAGTAAAACAAGCAAGTCCTAGTGGTATGCAGGCAAAATGTGCCAGAGTGTGCATACCAGTGAAGTCCTCACTGCCTGATGTGATAATGGAAGGGGACTCCCCTTCCAAACAGTAACTCCTCTCCTCCTCCCCCCCCCTCCTCACCATCTTCCATACGCCTACAGCATTCAACAGCAAGGTAAGTAATAACTTGAACATAGTTTTGTAGGTTTATTTAGATGAATTAGGTATAAAAATTTAGTTTGATGTGGGGTTTTTGGGGTAGTCAGGAACGGATTAATTCATTTCCCTTTATTTCTTATGGGGAAATTAGCTTCGGAATGCGAGTTTTCGGAATACGAGGCGTCTCCAGGAACCAATTAAACTCTTAAACTGAGGTATGCCTGTAGTAGATAAAATTGTTGGCCTCGTGGAAGGTCTTACAACCATAGAGAATGTGTGCGACTACAGGAGAATAGGCAGATATGTAAAAGGGAAAGATCGACCTTTGAGGATCATCCTAAATGGTGCCAAACAGATGCAAGAAGTACTAAGGAATGCTAGAAAATTACAAAGTGATGAGGATGGGAAAGTGTGGTAGTAAGACGAGATCTTTTAAAAGAAGATAGAGAGAAGCTGAAACTGAAACTCGCCGAGGCAAAATGTTTAAATGAGAGCAGGAATGAAGAAGAAATCAATTATTTTTCCTACAAAGTGATAGGGGTACGCAGACCAGTAAAGTGGTACATAAAGGCGAACCAACAAAATCATTAAAGAGAGGCAGGGGGAATGAAAAATAAGAAGAGGGGGAACAAGTTCCTGAAGATTGCATACACTAACATAGGGTTGTGGTGACCTGTCTGCATCTTCTAGGGATTCGTGTTTTGGCCTACCTCAACGACTGACTGGTGTGGGCTCCCAGTCGGTCAGCTTGTCTGCTCGCCAGGGATATGGTTCTTTCCCAGCTCATCAGGTTCGGGTTCCTGGTGAACTGGAGGAAGTCCCATCTGGTTCTGTCCCAGGTTCGGCCCTGGCTAGGTCTCTATTGGGATTCTCGGACCGCTTTCTTGTCTCTTCCTCCAGAGGCGTTACTGCGGCTGCAGGACTGCCATCGGCTGTTTCTGAGGGGGTCCCAGGTCACTCAGCGGTTGCTCGAGCTGTTGTGCGTGAGTCTGAACTTCGCCGTGCTAGTCTACCCGCCTGGTCGGGTTTGGCTTCGGCGTCTGTTTTCGTTCCTTCGGGGACGTCCCTTCAGCTTCTCTCGCGATCATTGGGTTTGTCCTCCGGGAGCCTTGTGTCAGTTGCTGCATCAGCTTCCTCTTCAGGGTTTTCGGGGTTCAGTGCCTTGGCGCCTTCCCGAGTCCTTGCTCGATGTGTTCACGGACGCGTCGTCTCTCGGCTGGGATTTTGTGACCAGTGCTCACCAGTCAGGCCAGGGACGTTGAGGTCCGTCCTTCCATCGGGTTCACAGCACAGTTCAAGAGTTCGCGGCAGTCTGGTTCGCACTTCGGAGGGTTCGGGTCGCTCGGGGATCGACCATTCGCCTCCATTCGGACTGTTCTCCAGTGGTTCATTGCCTGAACCGCGGGGGTTCTCTTTGGTCCTTGGCTCTTTGGGATTGGTCCCTTCGAGTGGTTCGTCTGCTGGATTCTCGGGTTTGGCTCTCCGTGCAGTTCATGTCCGGGGAGTGTCCAACATTCTGGTGGACGGTCTGTCACGCTTCCATCCCCTGTCCACGGAGTGGACGGTCGACGACAACTCATTTCGTTGGATCTGCCAGATGTAGACCTCTTCGTGTTGACGTGGTCTCGCGGCGTCTCTCAATCTACGTGACGCCCTTCCCCGACTGCGAGGCGTTTGCGGTGGATGCCTTTCGTCAGGATTGGTCGAGGTGGGGTTACCTGTACCTCTTCCCCCCCCGGTCCAGCTGTTGTTTCGGGTTCTGGTCCGGTTGGAGACATTCCCAGGGAGAGTAGTCCTTGTGGCCCCTTGGTGGCCGGCTTAGCCTTGGTTTCCGGTGCTTTTGGCTCGGTGCCCGAACCTGGGACGTTTCCTGCGGCTCCGCCTCTTTCAGCAGGTCGGCCCCGGTCCGATACAGGGCTGGTTCGACCTTCTCCTCTGCTCTTCGTGTCTGGTCTTTTTGACGCGAGTGTATCACCAATTATATGGTGATCAGGTGGCTTTGTTAATGGTGTCCCACCTGAGAGCTTCGTCTCGGCGACAGTATGAAGTTTCCTGGCGTTCTTTTTGCCATTTTCTGGCTCTTCGTAGGTTGTCTTTTCTTTCGGGTCGGGTTGTCTTGTCCTTTCTTTCTTGACTTTTTCTGGACCGTCATTTAATGCCTAATACTGTTGCCTCGTATCGTGCAGTGCTGGCGGAGCCGCTCAAGCTAGTGTTCCAGGTGGATGTCACATCCGCCCCGTTCGGTAAGCTTTCCCGTGCTATGTTTCACCTCCGGCCTGCGCATGCGCCTCCTGAGCCGTCCTGGTCCATGGACAGGGTGCTCTCCTATCTTTCCTCTCCTCGGTTTGTGGTGGCCCCTTCGGTTCCAGATTGTTTTTCCAAGGCTTTGTTTTTGTTGGCATTGGCCTCTGGGGGCCGGATAGGGGAACTTCATGCTCTCTTGGCGCAGGGGTTTCTGCTCTTTTGGTCCTGGGTGTAGGTTTGTCCGTTTGCAGCCTTCTCCATCTTTTCTGGCGAAGAACGAGACGGCTGCTTTCCAGAGGGGTCCGTCGGTCATTGATGCTTGGTTGGTTCGGCCGGGGATGCATCATGTGTTTTGTCTGGTTGCAGCACTTCGCCGTTACCTGCGCGCTTCAGCTGGGGTGGCTGGGGATGTGCTTTGGGTTGATCCGGTTTCCCTCGTTCCCTGTTCCAGGGCTCGGGTCTCCCAGGTTGTCCGCAGGGTTAAGCCTGTGGTCTATCCTCGCGCCCATGACATTCGGGAGTTTGCAGCTTTGGCTGCCGTGTTTGGTAACATGTCTTGGGCTCATATTTAGGCGTGTGGATTTTGGAAGTCGAAGTTTGTGGCTGCCGCCTCCCGGGTAAGTCCCTTTTTACTTCTTTTTGGGTATGTAGCACCAGTGAGCCGTAGGGGCTCCCCACAGAAAACCAACGTTGAATGTAATGAAACGCCATTTTCTGGGTGAGCCCCAGAGGCTCCTTGGCTACCCTCCCTCCCTCTGGTCGGCGGGGGTTTTTCGCGTTGGTTGAAGCCTAGTTTCCGAACTGAAGGCAGCCAGCGCGGTGAGGTCCGAGCCCTGCCCCCCCCCCCTCCCTCCCGGGGAGGGGAGGGCTGCGCGGACGACCGGCGCGGCAGTAAATTGATTGTTTGATTGTTTCCTTGGGATTGTAGGGAGTTTCTACCTCTCTGTTCATTTTTTGTTGTGGTTTTTTACCATGTAGGGTTTGTTTTGTTATGCCTACCTTTCTGGGTGCCGGACTCCAGTCGATGGCAGATAAGGAAAACCCCCAACCATAATGGGGTTTTCAAGGGCCATTGCTCCCTGAAACCTCTCTGAAGAGGCCAGGTTCTGGCACTGGTCTCTGGTAGGTCTGAACTCCATAGCTAATGTCCCGGTCTAACATAACATATATTAGCTCAATAAGCTCCAGGGAGCCTCCGGGGCTCACCCAAAAAATGGTGTTTCATTACATTCAACGCTGGTTTTTTTTTTTGTCTTGTCTTTGGGTTAGTAGCTCCAGGTAGTTGCAGGGACTCCCCACAGAAAACTAGCGTTGAATGTAATAAAACGCCATTTTCCGTTTGAGACCCGGAAGCTTCCCGGCGACCCCCTCTTCCTCTGGTCGGTGTTTTGACATACAACCTCCGAACTGGGGTGTGGGTAGCTGGTATGGGGGTCTGGAGCTCCCCTTTCCCCCTCCAAGGGAGTGGGGGTTTGCGCAGAACGTGGTGCAGCGACATGATGATGTCATACTCGTTTGCTAGTTTTCATTTGGGGGGTTCTGTCCACTAGTTCGGCTTTCAGTAACAATGTTAACCAGAATAGGGGTTTGTTTTGATGCGTTTACTTTACTGGGTGCCTGACCCAGTGGATAGCAGACATAGAATGCTTCCAACCACACAGGGGTGTCTTTAGGCCATTGCTCCTTGTGCCTCTCTGAAGGGGCCAGGTTCTGGTTTGTGGTCAAAGGTAGGCCTAGAAGTCCATGCACATTGACTGATTCCAAAGTCTAATACAGTATATCCACATCAGCCTGGATAGCTCCGGGGAGCCTCCGGGTCTCGCCCAGAAAAATGGCGTTTCATTACATTCAACGTTGGTTTTTTGTACATTAGCAAATTATTTGTTTGTTGTCATGAAAATTTCACATTGCATTATTTTTATTTACTATATATGATATTGGGAATTTTTTAAATTGTATGATTTCAAAATATTTAATCATTACTTTTTGAGTGCAGTATGATAGAACTGATACTGTATAAACATATAATAGGTTAGAAATGCCAAGTCCTACACAGGCACTTGGCAAACTATCTGTCATCAGACTAATTATTTGTAATTGAAAGTAATGAGCATTCTGGAGTCTGGAATTAGTTCAGTACTGTACAACCAAATTATCCTCCTGGTGTGATTTTTAGTCGTGTTTCATGGAATTGCTCATCTCTCAGGTTTAATATATCATATAGTACTATATTAAAGGAGAAATGGGACAAAGGAGAGATATTTTCATTGATCCCCCTAATATTCCCCCCCCCCATCCTTATCTGTGTAGCATATGTATTCATTTCTAAAAATGTAATGTGATTTACTTGAAACATGTAACTTACATTAACTAAACTGCAAGACATTTTTCAGGCGTCTTGAAGGCATTGCTCTGCAGGTGGTGAACATTGGTGATACGTCAACTTCAGACTATCTCCTGAAGCCTCAGAATCCAGCTCTGTACTCTTCTTTGGCTGTTCAAAATGTGCTTTCCAAAATTAAGTAAGTTCACAATCTTCTTGATATTTTTGTTTATTGGAAATCTAATATTAGAATTACTGTATGTTCATTATTTTGATTCATTATGGTAATCCTCCTCACATTCTTGCTCTATACTACAACATATCATCATACATTAACACTTATTAGTCACCTGAACACAACACAGGTGTAAAGAATACTGTGTAACTACACAGAGCAATCGTAATAGTGTGATAAATCTATGAGAAAATCTTTGTATCTGGGTGATGGAATCAAACCCACGTCCTAGGTTTCCCCAGATGAACTCATTACCCATTGGACAGGTCCAGTGGGTACTGGATGTGTCTGAGGTAACCTTGGATGTGGGTTTGTTTCCACCAGCCTGCTATAAAAAGAAATTCAAATACAGTATTGTGTAAACTTCTTTTACATGTTATGACTCTATGCCCTACTCTACACAGACGCAGTCTTGTTGAATCGGCTCTAATACGCAACGTACCCAACATGAACTTGAGTCCTGGCTTTGTTGCGGTTGACTCTTCCTTTTCACAGTATATACTTAAATGCTCTAAACTTTCTAACAAACGTGACCTTACATAAGCTTACACTTCCATTTATCTTTCTTTCTCTTTCCTTTTCTTCTCTTTTTCTTTCCATTGTTTTATCTTACGATCTCTTGCTTATTCCTACTATTTTTCCTCCTATAAATAGGAGATGCCTCGTATGGGGCAATGGGCCTTCTGCAGTTATCTTCGTTCTTGTGTTCTTATTTTCTCATTCTTACTATCCCCTGTATTACACCTTATCTTCCCTACCTTTGTCTTGCCTTCTCTTCCTCTTAAGATTTTCTTCTCCTCACCTCTCTACTGCCTATTTATTGCCTTCTCCTAATTCAATCATCACGATCGACTTGAGAATGGTCCAGGATGGACCAAAACGTCGTCGTCCCTTCACTTTCTAGTGTGTGGTCTGGTCGACATGTTATGACTAGGTAGTTGTTGATATTGTGTAATCTCACTTATCTGAATTACAGTGGTACCTCGGTTTACGAATGCCCCTCTACAAATTTTTCGGGTTACGAGCCCAATTTCTTCGGAACATTTTAATCGTGTTACGAACTTTACCTCGGGATACGAGTTTGTTGGTACGCATATGGTCGATCTAGCACGTGGTGGCACGGCGATCGCGTTACCCAGTGCCGCCTGCCTAGTGACTATCCCACCTAAATTCTTTGCAAGGATTTATAGTTTCTTTTTGGATTTTTGGCTATTTGAACATAAAAGTTATTATATAATTTGCCATGGGTCCCAATAAAGCCAGTGGTAAGGTTTAAGGCAAGAAAACACATGTGAGAATGTCCATAGAGGAAACACAAGAGATCATTCATAAACATGAAAATGGTACAAGTGTTGTTGAACTAGCTAGGCAGTATAACAAATCTTCAGGGGAGGAGGCAATAGAGGATGTCTCTTCTTCATTAATTAAGAAAATCTGTGCAGTATGGGAAGAACTGCAAGTTTTTGATGAAAAGAATCACTCAGATAAAGCTTTAGCAGGCCATTGCATTGATCTTATTAATGACAATGTGATGTCTCACTACAGACAAGTGTTACAAAGAAGGGAAAAACAGTCTTCAAGAAATACAATTAGAAAATAATCATGCAGTGAGCCAGAAGCAGGTCCTAGTGGTATGCAGGCAAAACATGCCAGTGTGTGGCACGTTTTGCCACACTCAAACCCCAGAGAAGTCCTCACTTTTCCCCCGGTTCAGATGTTGCTCCAGGTCTTGGCTCACATGGAGCCTTACCAGGGGAGAGTTGTCCTTCTGGCTTCTTGGTGGCCGACTCAGCCTTCATTCCCCGCGCTTCTTTCTCGGTGTCTGAACCCGAGGCTCTTCCCGCGACTCCGCCTCTTTCAACAGATCAGTCCGGCCCGGTATGTGGCTGGTTCGCTCTTCTCCTCGAGTCTTCACGTCCGGTCTTTCTGACTCGAGTCTATCATCACTTGTATGGTGTGCAGGTGTCTTCGTTGGTGGTTTCCAACCTGCGTGCTTTGTCTCAGCGGCAGTACGAAGTTTCATGGCAGCCCTTTCATTATTTCCTATCTCTTCATAGGTGTACATTGGTCTCTGATAGAGTTATCTTGTCCTTCCTTTCGTGGATGTTTCAGGACCGTCTTCTTATGCCAAATACTGTCGTCTCGTATCATGCGGCGTTGGTGGAGCCACTGCAGCTTGCGTTCGATATTGATGTTACTTCTGCTCCATTCCGCAAGCTGTCTCGTGCATTGTTTCACCTCCGGCCTGCTCAAGCGCCGCCTGAGCCTTCCTGGTTGTTAGACCGGGTGCTCTCTTTTCTCTCTTCTCCTGGGTTTGTAGTGACCCCTTCGGATTGTTTTTCGAAGGGTCTTTTCCTGTTGGCATTGGCCTCTTGTGGTCGGGTCGGGGAGCTTCATGCTCTCCTCCGGCGCAGGGGTTTCTGCTCTTTTGGTCCTGGTGGTAGGTTTGTTCCTTTGCAGCTGTCTCCTCCTTCAATGGCAAAGAATGAGTCTGCTGCTTTCCAGAGGGGTCCTTGGGTTCTTGATGTTTGGTTGGTCAGGCCGGGGGGTAATTACCTAAGTGTAATTACCTAAGTGTAGTTACAGGATGAGATAATTATGCTCGTGTTGTCCCGTCTTCCCAGCACTCTTTGTCATATAACGCTTTGAAACTACTTACGGTCTTGGCCTCCACCACCTTCTCACCTAACTTGTTCCAACCGTCTACCACTCTGTTTGCGAAAGTGAATTTTCTTATATTTCTTCAGCATCTGTGTTTAGCTAGTTTATATCTATGACTTCTTCTTCTTAAAGTTCCAGATCTCAGGAAATCTTCCCTATCGATTTTATCAATTCCTGTTATTATTTTGTATGTAGTGATCATATCACCTCTTTTTCTTCTGTCTTCCAGTTTTGGCATATTTAATGCCTCTAACCTCTCTTCGTAGCTCTTGCCCTTCAGTTCTGGGAGCCACTTAGTAGCATGTCTTTGCACCTTTTCCAGTTTGTTGATGTGCTTCTTAAGATATGGGCACCACACAACTGCTGCATATTCTAGCTTTGGCCTAACAAAAGTCATGAACAATTTCTTTAATATATCGCCATCCATGTATTTAAAAGCAATTCTGAAGTTAGAAAGTGTGGCATAGGCTCCTCGCACAATATTCTTTATGTGATCCTCAGGTGATAGTTTTCTATCTAGAACCACCCCTAGATCTCTTTCTTTATCAGAATTCCTTAAAGATTTCTCACATAATATATAGGTTGTATGGGGTCTATGTTCTCCTATTCCACATTCCATAACATGGCATTTATTAACATTAAATTCCATTTGCCAAGTGGTGCTCCTTATACATATTGCATCATGTGTTGTGTCCAGTTGCGGCTCTCCGCCGTTATCTGTGTGCCGCAGCTTCAGTGGCCGGGGACGCGCTTTGGGTTGACCCGGTTTCCCTCCTTCCTTATTCTATATCCTCTTGCCCTCAACATTTGTAAGTTTGCTGCTTTGGCTGCTGTCTATGGTAACATAGCTTGGGTTGACATTCGGGCACGGGGTTTTTGCAGGTCAAACAGGGTCCTGGCCGCTCGCTACCTTGTCAGTGTTCCGGGGCCTCGTAGGGCCTGTGTCGCATCAACTCAACTTAGAGTTGAGGAGCGAGGGCCGACTGCCTCCCGTGTAAGTCCCCGTTTTTGTTTTTGTCTTTGGGTAGTCATCTCCGGTTAGCCGATGGGGCTCCCCCCAGAAAACCAGCGTTGAATGTAATGAAACGCCAATTTCTGGGTGAGACCTGGAGGTTCCCCCAGCAACCCTGCCTCCCAACGGTTGGCGGTTTTTCGCGTTTTTGACATCTAGTCTTAAGAACTGGAGGGAGGGTAGCCGGCGTGAATGTCTGGGGCTTCCCCTTCCCCCTCCCGGGGAGGGAGTGGGGTGTGCGCAGACAGCGGCATCATGCTAGTTTACTTGTTTTCATTTGGGGAGTTCTGTCCACTCGTTCGGCTCTTTTTAGCAATATTTTCATCTAAATAGGGGTTTGTTTTTAGGTGCATACCTTTCTGAGTGTCTGGCCCTGTGGATGGCAGACATAGAATGCTTCCAACCACACGGGGGTTTCTATAGGCCATTGCTCCTAGTGCCTCTCTGAGGGGGGCCAGGTTCTGGCTTGTGGTCCCCGGTAGGCCTAGAACTCCATTCACATTGATGCCAGAAATCTAATATATCCATATGAGCCTGGATAGCTCTGGGAAGCCTCCGGGTCTCACCCAGAAAATGGTGTTTCATTACATTCAACGATGTTTTTTTTTTATTTTATGTTTATCTTTTTCAGTCAAGGTGCCAATATTAAAATCAATACTTTGAATACTGTATTGGCAATCAAAGTTTTACAACCAAAACTCAAGAGTTTCTAGACTTACATTTGTACAGATATACAGCTGGTCTAGTTCCATTATGTGGATTGAAAATATTGATTAATCTTGAGGGTTGAAACATCCTCATAAATACAAATGGCTATAACTTCTTTTTACATAAATTTTGAGTGTTCCTCATAACAATATGAACTTAATATTTGAAAGATTACTTTTGAATGCACTATGAATCACTCTTCTAACAGTTAGGAGTCACCACAGAAGAATTTTAAACAACAATGTTCTTGCAAATCCCCAAAATAGGGGCAGGCCATAACTTTTGAACCAAAAGTCAGATTTATCAGAAACTTGAATTGTTGTGTTTTTGTGTAAAGACAAAGATATAGATGTACTTCCTGGAAACTTGAAAGGGGTGTAGTGCTAATTTCACTTTGTTTGTATGGTCTGTTATGGAATAGCCCGATACTGTAAATGTGTTTCCCTGCATTTCAAATGTTTTAATTTAAAACTGCAAAAGCAGCTCTCCCTCTCGATCTCAATCTCTCAGTTATAACCACTGTATTGTGTACATTACCTATAATGCTGTATTGTAAACAAAGAACTATAGTTTAACAAAAAGAAGTTTTGTTTCATAAGCTTTATGCAAATTCAGACTTATTTAGTATTGTACAGTACAATATATATCCATCTTTTCTTTTAATATCTATACTTTACTGTTTATTTTTGTTAGGGAATTGTAATGTGTTTTTTTTTTTTTTTACCAGCAGTGGTGAGCCAGGAGTATCAGAAGTTGAGACTCTTCACACTGGGCTGCTAAACAAGTTGGAAATGCTTTTACCTAAGTTCTCCTCTGCTCAGGAGGAGCTTGAAAATGCACGTAAAGAAGTTATCAAGCTCAGGGAATTGTGTAACAAACACAGTCTTAAACCAGGTATGGTAAATACTTGAGTAACATTGTCTGTACATATTCTATTTCATAAGATATTTTTCACTGCTGTGTGCTGTTAAATTACTAGACTGATTCTAGTAAAGTATTATGAAAGTACCTGGGAGCATATTACCTGCTCATGCACTTGTAAATTTTTCTGATGCTATCATAGACCTGAAAGTTGGAACAATTGTCATAAAGTGAATTTGGTCATCTTGATGCACGATTGAATGTAAAATTATTTAATAGTCAATGTCTAAACTAGTATGGTCTTAACTATGGGCCCTAAGAAATGCTGTAAGGTAAATTGTGAATGTAGGAAATGTTAGATGTATCTTGAGTCCATACTCGCACTAATTGTAATCTCTTACCTGAGTAAAAGATTACAATTATTCCACACCTACACTTGAAGAAATAATTCATGAACAAAGGCCATCCTTTTGCCTAAAGGGAATCACCCATCCAGTTAATACAATAATTTTTCTGGGGGAGCCCCATCAGCTCCCTGAGCTTATCCAGGCTGATATGCTAATGTCAGACTTTGGCATCGGTCATGTGTATGGAGTTCTATGGGCCTACCAGGGACCATGAGCCAGAATCTGACCCCTCAGAGAGGCAAGGGGAGCAATGGCCTATAGAAACCCCCGTGTGGTGGAAGTATTCTATGTCTGCCATCTTGAGGTTATCTTGAGATGATTTCGGGGCTTTTTAGTGTCCCCGCGGCCCGGTCCTCGACCAGGCCTCCACCCCCAGGAAGCAGCCCGTGACAGCTGACTAACACCCAGGTACCTATTTTACTGCTAGGTAACAGGGGCATAGGGTGAAAGAAACTCTGCCCATTGTTTCTCGCCGGCGCCCGGGATCGACCCCGGGACCACAGGATCACAAGTCCAGCGTGCTGTCCGCTCGGCCGACCGCCATCGACTGGATCAGGCACCCAGAAAGGTAAGCGTCCCAAAACAAACCCCTAATCTGGTTAAAATTGCTACCAAAAGCCGAATTAGTGGATAGAACTCCCCAAACAAAAACGAGCAAACTAGTATGACATCACAGGTCGCCGCGCCGCTGTCTGCGCAGCTCCCCCCTCCCCGGGAGGGGGAAGGGGGAGCCCCAGACCCCCCACGCCAGCTATCCACACCCCAGTTCTTCGGCTGATGCTAGTGGCTTGGGTCGTGTGCTCCAGCTCCAGTGGTTGTTTCAGCACTGTACCTAGAGCACTGTGCTAAACTCTCTATATAAACAATTGTCTCAACCGTAAAAATTAAGATACTATACCTTAACCCTTAAACTGCGCAACCCACTTGCAGGCCCTCGTCTGGTTTGCGCAATACGCCTCCGAGTATTTATATTTTTCACGTTTCCATTCAAAACTCCCGCGGCTACATGGGATTCACATCAGCTTCCTCAGGGCTCTTGTAAACAGACGCCATCTTTAAAAAAAATCATGGGCCACATTCCCGGGTGTGAGAGCCTCAGTACTGAGTGAGCAACCAAGGCTGGTGCACACAGCATGAGCTCACAGCACAGCTGTTCAGCTTGTGACCACAGCATCGCTTAATAATGTCAAAATATATATATATATAACTTGTATTATTTAGCCATGATAGTATTACAGAAGAGCCTGAGTGTGCCTGACTGTGTACAATGTTCAAATATCAGTGATTTAATGTTGTTCATGATGTTCACAGCACTAGCCACAGCACCACAGCATTATTTCATCCATGTAGGAATCTTCAAACGACTTCCTAGGTTCCTTACAAAATAAACTTCCTATGGCTTCCTATGGCCAATGTATGGCTTCATGAGCCTACTGGGCTCTGTCGTGTCTCCACTTGATGCTGTGTGTGTGGGGTCAGCCTCCACCACATCCCTTCCTCATGCGTTCCATTTGTCTCCTACTCTGACACTGGATTTTTTTTTTTTTCCTCCATTTCTATTGCTCATTGGGCATCCGTTCTACCTGTGTCCCCTGGCACGTGTACCCCTTGTGCTCCTTGGTCAGTGTTTCTCTTCCCTCTCATTCTTCTGAGGGTCTTGCTTGTGGTGGTGGTGTCCCCTCTGGTTCTTCTGTCTCCCAGTGACGTGCGGTTTCATTCCCATTGTCTCTCGTCTTCGCTCGTGCCCCTCGGTTCAGGTACTGGTCTGGTGGCAAACCTTGCGTTTTTTCCGTTTCGTCCTGTGTTGGGACATGACCAATGACTGAATTGTTGGCGGGCCTTTCATTCCCATTTGCTGCCTGCCTTCTTCTTTCCTCACTTTCCTTTTATCCTACACATTGTGTGTTTTGTTTCTGCCTTTTGGCTCTCCTATTGCCAGGTTTGGATTTCTGATTCCTGGTTTTCCCTGCCTGTTGGCATTTTCAGAGTCTCTATCAGGCCCCATTGTTTCCGGTCTCCTGGCGAGCTCGCTGGCGTTGCAAAGTTTTCTGTCCGGCAGATGTTCCATCTCCTCCTTTGCCAGCTCGGGTTTCCAGCTCTGCTTGCTTGGTCGCACCCGGGGTCTTCCCGCGGCTCCACCTCTTCCTCGGCTCGTTTGGTCCTTGACGGGGCTGGTTCGGCTCTGCCTCGAGTCTCTCACCTTCTGTTGGTGATCAGGTGGCTTCGTTGATGGTGTCCCACCTGCATGCTTCTTGGCGGCAGTGTGGGTTTTTTTGGCGGGCCTTCCTTTATCCTTCTGTCCCTTCTTGGGTAGCTGTGTTTTGTGGGCGTGATTCTTGTCCTTCTCTTGTGGAGGTTCGGGGCCATCATTTTGCGGCATACTGTCGCCTCGTATCATGCGTCACTGGCGGGGCCGCTTCAGCTTGTGTTCAGTGTTCATGTTTCTTCTGCGTCGTTTTTGCAAGCTGTCTCGAGTGTTGTTTCACCCCCGGCCTGCTCATGGGCTGTCTGAGCCGTCCTGGTCATTTCTTTCTTCTCCTCGGTTTGTTGTGGCCCCTTCGGTTCCGATTTGTTTCTCGGGGGCTCTTTCCTGTTGGCATTAGCCTCTGGGGGTCGGGTCGGGGAGCTTCATGCTCTCCTCCGGCGCAGGGATTCTGTTCCTTTGATCCTGCCGGTCGTTTTGTTCGCGCCTCGATTTGTGTCTACAGGTGTGCTTTGGGTTGATCCGATTTCCCTTCTTCCCTGTTCGCGAGTTCGGGTCTCCCGGGTCGTTCGCAGGGCTATTAAGTCATGCCAGCCTGCGGTCTCTCCCCGTGCCCATGACGTTTGCCAGTTTGCGGCTCTTGCCGCCGGTTTTGGCAATATGTCCAGGGTTGCGTGCGGGCACAGGAATTTTGGCGGTCGAACGGGGTCCTGGCTGCTCATTATCTTCTATTCGTTCCTGGACCTAGTCGGGCCTGTGTCGCTTTGGGTTGGCAGTTGCAGCCAGTTGTCTCGATTTCGGGTTGAGGAGTGTGCGGCGACCACCTCCCGGGTAAGTCCCTCTACTTTCCTCTGTGGGTAATAAACTCCAAGAAGCCGACGGGGCTCCCCAGAAAACCAGCGTTGAATGTAATGAAACGCCGTTTTCTGGGCGAGACCCAGAGGCTACCCCGGCATCCCTCCCTCCCTCCCTCCGGTCGGTGGTTTTATCGCGTGTTTTGACATCCAGCCTCAGAACTGGGGTGTGGATAGCCGGCGTGGGGGGTCTGGGGCTCCCCCCTTCCCCCTCCCGGGGAGGGGGGAGCTGCGCAGACAGCAGCGACGTGTGACGTCATACTAGTTTGCTCGTCTTTGTTTGGGGAGTTCTATCCACTAGCTCGGCTTTTGGTAGCAATTTTAACCAGAATAGGGGGTTGGTTTTGGGATGCTTAACTTTCTGGGTGCCTGATCTTGTCAATGGCAGACATAGAATGCTTCCAACCACACAAGGGTTTCTATAGGCCATTGCTTCCCTTGCCTCTCTGAGGGGGTCAGGTTCTGGCTTGTAGTCCCTGGTAGGCCCTTAGAACTCCATACACATGACTGATGCCAAAGTCTGACATTAACATATCAGCCTGGATAAGCTCCAGGGAGCCTCCGGGTCTTGCCCAGAAAATGGAGTTTCATTACATTCAACACGGTTTTTTTTTTTTTTTATCACTGACCACACTCAAACATTTTCAGAAATATGAACTTGACAGGAAATACAGTTTAAGAATGAATGATGTGTATAATAGTGAAGTAGGTCTATAAGATAAAATAAAACAATTAGCCAGCATGGAACCACTACTCCTCCCCTCCCCCTCCCTTTTCCATCCAGCTGAATATTTGAAATTATGGAATTATTGTCAGACACACACACACACACACACACACTATCTTCAAAAGAAGATAGAGAGAAGCTGAAACTGAACCTCGCCGAGGCAAAACATTTAAATGAGAGCAGGAATGAAGAAGAAATAAATTCTTTTTTCTACAAAGTGATAGGGGTAGGCAAACCAGTAAAGTGGTACATAAAGGCAAACCAACAAAATCAATAGAGAGAGGGGGAGTGAAGAATAAGGAGAGGGGGAACAAGTTCCTGAAGATTGCATACACCAACATAGATGGAGTGAGATCGAAGATACTGGAGTTAAGTGATGTAATACAGCTGCAGACACCAGACATTGTTGCACTCACGGAGACAAAACTTGAAGATGTAATTTTAAATGAGGTCATATTCCCAAGGGGCTACTCAATTTGGAGACGGGACAGAAAAATTAGGAAAGGCGGTGGCGTTGCTGTGCTGGTAAAAGAACACCTAAAGGTGAAGGAAATAATGACTGCCAATCCACAAGAAGTTGACATAATAGCACTAGAGATCTGCTATGAGGATGATAAACTAATGATGATAAATGCATATAGTCCACCGCCAAGCAGCACATGGTCAAAGGAGGAGCTAGATAGTAAACGTGAAGGTCTTATAACAATAATGAGAGAGATTATAGCGAGAGCGGATAACGATAGATCACGACTGTTGATAGTCGGTGACTTCAACTTGAAATCCATAGACTGGGAAGCATATGAAGCTAAAACAGAAGATTTTTGGACCTGTAAATTTGTAGA